ATTCCGACGCAGAGAATAGGGATGGACCGCCACCGCGTCTTCCATATCCCTCCTCCTTCCGCAAACAGATGTCAAGCCGAATCTCGGACAATCCAGATCAATTGCAGAGCTCGTCACCGATTCATGGCAGTTCGGATCGGCCGCCGGATCTTCGGTAGTGATAACTGCCTCAAATTTCTCATCCCCTTCTTCATCCTCCTCACGGAGCTTAGAAGCCTGAGAGGTATCGCTGAGTTCCGAATTCCGCCGCTTCAAACATCTTCCACTAACGTCACAGATTTCCGATTTGCCTTCACTCTCCGGCGACGAAGAGGCAGAGCGGAGATCCGCGAACCTCCGGCGCTTCCTCTCCAGCGGCGGAGCCGCCGCGTAGCATAACTGGCGAATCTCCATCCGCCGCCGCCTGGCTCCGACGGACCTGGGCTCAACCGGAGCCGACGTCTCTGTTTCACCGCCACACACGGCAGCCATCAATAATTTATCAAAACGTTTCTTAAATTCCAATATCCAAACGAGGAATAACAAACAACTACAACAACCACAACAATAATACTGAAATGAAAAAAGAGAATCTTAAATGGGAGGGGGGAGAAGGAAGAAGGCATTACACCTGGCGGTGGGGGCATCCGGGCATCTGCCCGTGACTGCCCCGGGCAGATTGAGTGGAGATCTGGCCGTCCAAAAAATCTCAGTCACGATATTTTCGGTAACACGTGGAACGCAAAGCGAACGAGTGGGACACGCTAGCCAATCAGAAGCCGACACGCGAGGGGAGGAAAAGGATTTTAACCACGTTGAGGAATTATAACAGGGAGGGAGACGGCGCGTGAGATCTGGCGCGTGGAGACAATAATGCAGCTGAGGGGGCCACATGTCAACTTCGAAGCTTTGTTACTATTGCAGTTTGACGCGTGTCTCCAGGTGACGTGGAGCGGATGGTGCAAACCTCACGAGGGCTTTTTTGGAACAACAGAATATGGCATCACCTCCCACACCACCCTAATGTTATGAGCAATGCTAGGGGTACATCAAAAGTGTACTCCAAACATCTTCCACCCTCTCCATAACCACATAAAAAGGCAAGTAAAATTCAAAGAAAAATAAAAAATAAAAACAAAATAAAATAAATGGTAAAGAATGGAGTGATGTACATTTGGGATACACCTTTGGTGTACTCCTAACATCTCCTTAATGTTATTTGCAAATTTCAAGTGGAAGATACATCCCCCCTTTGCCTACATGAGTTTGTGCAGACTATTCATAACCCATACCATATTGTTGTATTGTACGGAGTACCTTTTAGAGGATTGGTAATAAGGTGAAGTCTTGGGAGTTTAATTTACCTCATATTTTTACTATAAATAGTTTTGAAGCCACATGGCTTTAAATTAGGCTTCAAACCTTTGGATTGTAATTCGCGTTGAATCAATTCGAATCGGTGTGAACTCGCCGCTTCATCCGGTCGAACAAGTTTTTTTTGCAAAATTTAGCCAAAATACTATCACTAAAGTTTGAACCTTTAACCTCTTCATATAGTACCAAACTATAACCCAACTAAGCAAGAGTGTTTGTTGTAAAATTTTGGTTCCAAGTAGCATATACTACGTATTACGTAATTAAAAGAGTAAATATGTATTAAAAATTTTTTATATATTAAACTAAGATTCTTAACATTTAAAAATAGAAAAAATTCAAATACGAAGTATGTGTCGCGAAAAAAATTCATTTTAATATTTTAAAATATTAGTAAAAATATATAAATAAAAATAAAAATATCATTATTTTATAAAACTTTTAATGTACTTCTCGATATATAAATGTACATATGAAAGGATTTATTTTTATTTTATACAAAATAATTTTATATATATATATATATATATATATATATATATATATATATATATATATATATATATATATATATATATATATATACTCCCTCCGTCCGGAAATATTCTTCCCACTTTCCTTTTTGGTCCGTCCGGAAATATTCTTCCCATTTCCTTTTTTAGTATACTTTTTAAGGATAAATATCAATAATACCCTTCTATTTTATCACAAATATACTTTTTTAGTACTTTTTTAATAATAAAAGGAGATTTAAAAGTTTATAGTATGTGCATTTTTGAAAATTTTGCATTTTTTTTACTATTCTTTAATAAGCGTGCCAAGTCAACACGGGAAGAATATTTCCAGACGGAGGGAGTATATATTTAATATGTTTAAACCCCTGTCTGTGACCCGCTCATAACTCTCCCCTTACCATGCCCTATTAGGCGTGAAGTGGTGTTGCCTCCATTTATGTGATAGCCATCACGGAGTGATCGCTTTTTCTCCCTTCAATAATTCCTTTACTCCCTCCGTCCATGTAAGATTTTCCCATTACGCGTTATGAGGCTTGACCGACTTTATTTTCAATTCAATTTAATTGATTACAGAAATAAAATTTTAAAAACAAACTACATGAAAAGTTCTACAAAACTAGAGGTGACAAGACTATATTATTTTATGAAATAACTAGTAAAAATGAGCAAACAAAGTGAGTAAAATTTGACCCTGTGAATAGTGTCTGGGAAGATCTATGGTGGACAGAGGGAGTTTCATTTTCTAAAATTCACACCTCATCACTTTCAATCACACCTATCATAACACATTTTTTTATCAATCTACATTATACATGTTTACACCTCATTAAGTCCCTGTCAAGCCCGCAATAACACATGGTCTTATGGTGAGTGTGAAGGAGGAGTCATGGTTTGTGAGAGTGTTAGTTATTTTGATTGGTTGATGTGAAAATATGATTAAATTTTAATTGATTTGATATTAAAAAATAAAATATAAATAAAGAAAGATAGGGGCAACGACCTTGATCACCATCAAGCCCCCTTACGTCATGCCAACGGTGGCGCGATGGTCTGGTCACATGTCACAGCATGACTGACGCCCCATTCACGCTCAGGCTCAAGTATCACTATAGATATCCTCATTAGGATATCAAGCACTTGGAGTATCCTTAATGAAGAGAGAATGCTTGAGAAAATATGATGTGGCTAAGGATAAAGTCAGGGGATATAGTAACCAAAAAATATAAAAAAAAAAATTAAAGAACGTTAGGATTCTATTTCCTATTATCCCTTGCACTGATCAATGGGTACAAGGGATAGCTTTGACCATAAGTACTAAAATGTTGGGGAAATGATTTTGTGAGAATATCGACAAGCTACTCAAAGGATGGAACATGGAGAGTAATCATGGTGTTTGTTATAACTTCATCCTGCACAAAATAACAATCAGAGCCAATGTGCTTTAATTCGATCGTGTGATATTATGCCTCAGTAGAAGATTGAGTGAAACGAGTTTGTTTCTTCGTACACTAAGAGATGAGATTCAGCCCAAGCATAAATAGGTAGCCAGTACTAGATCAGTGATTAAGTTTGTATTGGCCTAGTCGGAATCAAAATAGAAGAAATATCAAGGGTCCCTTTCTGAAATAGATTACCACAATTCAAAGTGCCTTAGCTTTAAGTAGCGGAGCATGTGTTTTAAGGCCACGTAATGTTGCTCAGTTTGTTTGTGCATGGTGTATATCCAGGCGAGTGACTCTCAAATAGTGTAGTTGACCGACAATAATTCAGAAAAGAATGAAATTAGAGATGAATGGAGATGGTGTCTGTACAGTGTGAGCCACCATCAAAGTGACAACCGGCTTACAATTAGTCATACCAGTCCTAATGTGAAGATGAATAGTATACATTGTTTAGTGAAGCAAAATTGCGTCCTTGGTACGCTTAACCTAAAAACCAATGAAGAAATATACTCCCTCCGTCCCACTGTCTTTGTCCACTTACCTTTTGGCACACCATCCAATGCACTTCTTTAATCCATTTTATCTTGTAATTTGTATATTAAAAAATTATAGAAATTATATATTAATAATCTATATGTTAAGACAAATCAAACAAGATCACACATGACTATTTTTAGGCTTACACATTGAGAGAATTTGATGAGTCAAAGTGCTTAGATGAACAGTTCCAAAAGTCAAATGTGGACAAAGACAATGGGACGGAGGTAGTATAAGGTTCGAAGGGGTAAGGGTGAACGGTTGCTAGGTGTGGAGAGGGTGAGGTGAGTATGAATCAGCTGGGGAAGGTAGGAGGGTGAGGAGTGGGGGTGGACGAGAGTAGTACTCTCTCCGTCATAATTTAAATCGCCTGTTTTGACTTTTGGGCATATTTAAGAAAAATAAAAAATAGAGTTGATTTTCTGAAATTGACATTACTTTTTAAGATGGGTGATGATGAATGAGAAGATAAGATGAAGAAGTGTGACTTATTTTAGGGGTAGTTTAGGCATTTTATTTTTAAAAATTTACGAAAACAACTAACGGGCAACTTATTTTGGGACGGAGAAAAAAAGCAAACAGACAATTTAAAATGGGACTGAGGGAGTAGAACATGTGTGCCGCCAAGGCAGGGGGTGGTCGGTGGTAGGGGCAAGGGTGGGGCAGCCAGGGGAAGGGGGAGGGTATGAGTGGATGGGGTGGCGTTAGAGAACGAGGAGTGTGCGTGGGGACAAAGTGGAGTGCGAATGATAATTTTATTTCGAAAGTAGATTAGAATTAGTTTTTTTCCCAATTAAGAAAAAAAATGTTTTTCGAAAAACATTTTTCTTCCTACAATATTTTCACCCGAGAAAATAAAATCAAATATTTTTTAGAATATATTTTTCTTTAAGCAAACATACCCTTAATCCTTAATGTTGAGTCATTACATTTTTCATGTTCATGAATTACGAGGGACGAGATGCCGAACTTGTGGAAACTTCTCGCCAATTCCTGGCTGTAAATCGCCAGCGCATCCATGGCCAGGATTTGACCACGCAAGTGAACTACCACGTCATCATCCTACGTGGCACCATCCCTAACCGGAAATTGATTCGCCCCATATTTCAATCCTTTCCGATAATCTTTCCCCACATTTTCACAGCGGAAGATACTCAAAACGCCAGCCCCACGTATCACACGCCGCAATAATCTGAGATTTTGTTATACATTTTCCCCATTTTCTGGCCGGTTTATCGGAATGGAGGGAGATGGAGAAGGCGGCGGCGGAGATGGTGCGGAAATGGAGAGGGGAGTCTATATGTGGGGGTATCTGCCGGGAGCGTCGCAGAACCGGTCGCCGTTACTCTCGCCGGTGGTGGTTAGACTGCCGCCTTCTGCTAGAGCTGGCACATCGTGGAAGGACGTTTCCGGCGGCGGATGTGGATTTGCTTTGGCCATTTCTGGTAACTAGTTGTTTATGTTATTAATTTAAATAACCGCAGAAGCTTTTCTCTGGTATTTTCTCTAATTTGTTCGGCCGTGTTTTACGAGTACGGTTTGTGTGCATTTGCTAATAGATTTGCTAGTTGATGTGGATTAACACATTGTTCCATTTTCAAATCCGGAATTCAATAGTGTGTGGGAAGATTTGCTATCAATTGAAGTTTGAACCCTAAAATTTCACCTTTAGAGAAAAAGACATTTTTTTAAATAAATTATCCCTACTTGTGCTTGAATTCTGGTTTCTGATGTGCTGCGATATGTATGGAATCTTGATCAAACCGTGCACCCCGCATGTCATTTTATATAATATACTCCGTAATATACTAACAGTTTGTGCATATGCTTTGGTAGACTCTGGAAACCTGATTACCTGGGGTTCAACAGATGATTTGGGTCAAAGCTATGTGACTGCAGGGAAGCATGGGGTAAGGCTGTGTTTTGATTAAACATGTCTTTCTCAATGTTTAAGTTTGTGCCAAACTGATCTGTATTTGGTTGCAATTTATTTTTGCAAGGAAATGCCAGAGCCCTTTCCCCTCCCCGAGGAAGTTTCAGTTGTAAATGCTTCAGCCGGGTGGGCTCATTGTGTAGTTGCTACAGGTACTCCAAACAACTTCTTGACCCTATGGAGTATGGATGAAATTCGATTAGGAAAATGGTTCAATATTTTGTACTTTGTATTTAAGGGACGGTTTAAGCTTATTGCATTTTATTCTAAATATTTGCTTAATGTCAAGAGTCTTTCTACAACAACCTCTATTCTCTTCTTTCAGCCAACTGTATGTGATAATGTCATTAAATCTCTCTCTCTCTCTCTCTCTCTCTCTCCATTGAGCCTCAACAACCCCTTGCATATAATCATACCAAGTTACCAACCAATAATCCTTGTTTGGGCATTGTTTAATGAAAGAGTCATTCTTAAATGCAGAGAATGGAGATGTTTACACATGGGGATGGAAAGAGTGCATCCCTTCTGGAAAAGTAATTGGGGATTCATCAACGGGGAAAAGCATTGAGAACGATGAAAGCGAAAAAAAGGAAGTGCTCTTTACAGAACCAGGTACCTTTGCGTTGTACCAAGGGTTCAGCAAGATGCAGTCTCATGATTTCTTTTTACATTGTTATATGCTGAAGATTGACGTTTATCACAGTGAGCTCTCACTTCCAGGCATCAAGTTCAACTGCTGATACCGTGTCTGCTAGCAGAGGTTTAGAAGATGGCGCAAAAAGGAGACGCACATCATCATCTGCATCATCATCTAAACATGCAGCAGAGGGAACACTATCAAATGATGAAAAGCTCTCTGCTTTGCCTTGTTTGGTCACATTTAACCAAGGAGTCAGAATTGTCAGTGTTGCATCCGGTGGCAGACACACGCTAGCACTATCAGGTAAATTCCTCATATCTTGGAATCTCCTCTATCTTAAAGAGTGTCTCGCAATGGCTAAATGTAAACTAATAAACCAACTTATAAAGCCTTTGGCTGATCCTCGTATTGATCAAAAGAGTTTTGGTTTAATGGCATTCATAATTTAATTAGTTTCTATCAATTCAAAGCAAGGCTCTTGATTTTTCTTTTTCCGCGAAGTTCCAGATATAGGACAAGTCTGGGGTTGGGGGTATGGAGGTGAAGGACAACTTGGTTTAGGATCAAGGATTCGCATGGTATCCTCTCCACATCTCATTCCTTGTATCAACTCGTCTCCTTCGGCAAATGAAAGCGCTGTGTCCGAGGGACAAGGACATATAGTTCCAGGGAGTTATGTGAAAAGAATTGCCTGTGGGGGTCGCCATAGTGCTGTTCTCACAGGTACTCTTAATACGCAGTATTAATTAGGTGTTTATGTGCTAGAAAAAAAAAGAAGAAAAAAAGAACTACACCTTTGAAATCCGGAGTATAGAGCATGCATACCATTGTGTAATGCTCTATCTTTCAAACTTTTGGTACACATTTATGTCTCATATATAATGTACTGTTGCAATGATATTTAGTTATTTTTCTTTCTACCAATCTGATTGCAGATGCTGGAGCAGTACTTACTTTTGGTTGGGGACTCTATGGACAGGTGAGTCCCTTCAGACTTCTTATTTAACAGAATTGATTTTTACGAAGTGATACATTCTTCTTACACCTCTGACTTTTGCCATAGAGAGGTGTTACTGTCATTTCAGAGAATACAAACATTTTGGCCTATGCCATCAAAATTTAAGTATATACACCTTCTGTCTCGAATTAATCATCCTAGTTTGACACTTCGGAGTTTGAGAAAAGTGTTAAAAAGTAAAAAGTTGATGGTTGAAATTTGTTTAGAAGAAAGAGAAAGATTATGAAGCACAATTTCTTTACGTTATTAGGTAAGTAAGAAAGTAGAACAATTATTTTGGGATAACCTAAAAAGAAAACTAGGACAATTAATTCCGGACGGAGGGAGTATGTATTACAATAGCAAAATGTTCTTCCAAATATTGTTTGACATCAATTCTCTCCCCTCTGCAAATTAACAATAATAGCATTGTTACTTTGCACAATTCTCTCCTCTGCACATAACTCAATAACACAATTTCATTTTTCTTAATGCTTGGTCAATTGGGGAACCTTATTTCAAGGCATGCGCACGTATAATAAATGCCTATATGTTTAGGGATATCATGTAGTATTTCTATATGTTTTTGCATGTTCAGTTTCTTTGCAATATTGCAAATGTAAGAAGAGAAAATGAATAAAATAAAAAAAAGAAATATCACCCCTTCCATACTTTCATTCCTTTCCCCCCGAAATTCCTTACCGAAAGGGGCTTAAGCACAGTGCTTTTTATGGTTACGAAACTTTTCTGTAGTTCCTTAAGGTTGTTACTTTATTAAGATATTAAACAAAAATGTATTTACCCATCCGTAGTGTGGCCAGGGAAGTACTGAGGATGAGTTAAGTCCCGAGTGTGTATCTTCATTACTTGGGATCAAGATAGATGGTATTGCAGCGGGACTCTGGCACACGTTATGCATCTCTGCTGATGGTGATGTGTATGCCTTTGGTGGCAACCAGTTCGGACAGCTGGGAACTGGAGGGGATCAGGCAGAGGTATTGTTGTATAATGTAATTCTATCCTTTTTCCGATTGACTGAAAGGTGCGCGTCTAGCATATAAGTTTGAGGTAAAACTTACGTCTAGTACTCAAGCGCAAGGTGAAGTCTTGCCTCTGAATAGTCAAATTGGGGTAAGATTGGCCCAATTAAATCCTGGCACATGATAACTTGTTTAAAATATATCAATGCAAAAGGTGATTGATTCTGCTAAAGTTCCAAAAATCTCTTGCACCATTTATGCCAGTTATTCTTATACATGAAATGGATTAAAGCCTTTGAGGTTGAATGCCACCTAATGTCCTAACCTTTCATTACCCTTGTTTCTGTGGCAGACTCTACCCCGACTTATTGATGCTCCAAGCTTGGAAAATGTGAATGCAAAAGTTGTATCATGCGGAGCACGTCACAGTGCTATAGTTACAGGTACATCGAATTCTTTCTTTGGGACAGACTAAACAATATTGTTTTGGTAGTGAATAATATGGAGATTACAATCCCTTTTTATTTGATCAAAAAGACCAAATTAGCTTAACTTAATGAAATTGTGACAAAATGACTCATGACTGGGTGGACCGAGCTATCCTAGAAATTAATTTGTAAAATATTTATATATACGTTAAATATGGTATCTAAAAATGAGAGTAAAACGTCATTTTCTTCATTTCAGCCATTTTGACTAAAGAAGTACATCAACAACAACAGCATTACCTCCGTGATTCAAAGGCTCCCGCCTATTGCGGGGAATGGAGGGTCATATGTATGCAACCAGACCCCTATGTTTAAAACATAAAGCGGTTGTTTCTAGATGACCCATGATGAGTGTCGAAAGTTACATTGACTAACTACTACACTTTAAAAGAAGCGCATACAGCTTAAAGAGCCATTTTGTTTTATTCCATCTTACCCCAAAGCAAAAAGTAGTGAATCTTTGGCTTCATCAGAACTTTTTTACGTGTAACTTTTTTATTATCAAAGAAAAGTTGGTGTTTGATACAGAATTCGGTTGCTAAGCAGAAAACAGGTCTATCAAATGGGAACTCTATTCAACAATCGCGAACTATTCAACAAGCAAAAAAGTTGATGTTTTTGCCTTCAAACTAATGCTAATTTCTGGCAAACTTCTACCACCACTTGATATGTGTAATTCAAATCTCAAGTAGCTAGGGGTAAGCCGGTAAGGTCTCCGTACACACACCCTCATCAGCCCTACTTTTGTGGGATTCTACTGGGTTGTTGTTGTATATGCCTTGCTAACTCATATGTGAATAAATGCAAAATCAGAAGTTAATAACAGTGTACCAATGCTCACCAATGCATTACAAATATGTTTTAGCAATGTGAAACCATAGTTCGCATTTGTTCATCCTGAAAAAAAAAACTAAGTTAGAATGTCAACAAAACAGTATAGTTTAAGTACTACACATCCTTTTACTACTTTTTGTCTTACACTTTCCTTTCCTACATTTTTGAAGATGATAGCAAAGTGTTCTGCTGGGGATGGAACAAGTATGGCCAGGTAAACATCATCCAAAACACTACTTTGGTCATAATTGTGGAAAGACACGTATATGAGCTAGTTTTGTAAACAAATCGAATTGAGTTGAATATATTATTTAAACTTATACCTAAAATGGGTTTTGACATGCCAGTTTTTGTATGTGTTTGTTTGGATACCAATATTATCTTATGGTACATATTTGCAGCTTGGTTTGGGCGATGTAATTGACCGTAAAATCCCAACACAAGTTCCAATGGATAGATGTGTCCCAAAAAAGGTGTCATGTGGATGGTGGCATACCCTTCTACTCGCGGATTCACCCACATGAATGCACCCCTCCCTTTACCAGAATGCTTTGGGAACATTTTTGCTAGGTTAGCAATTGAGTTATATATATGTAAATGTACATATATAGAACATCATGTGTACATTCTGCAGCCACAAACAGTGTGGCTGGTATTGGTTCTCTTGTTGATTAATGTCAAAGCCCACTCTCTCGGACCACACCACCAAAAAATATTTATGTTTCTGTCGTTGCGCGTGGAAAACCAGAAAGACAATTGTAACTTACAACATATTGTATGTATCCCCGACCTCGTGCTTGTTTCAGGTTTGTAGAATTGTATTGTAGTGAATAAAATGGTCGCCAACTTCAACACCATTTTGAGGGTGCGTGTTTGGTATTGTGTTTGAACATTGTTTTGTTAAAACAACGGCAAATTGCCAACTTCAACGCCATTTTGAGGGTATTTGGCAATTTGGTGCTGTTTATAAACTAAGTGCTTTGCAGCATAGTTAAGACAAAGTAAGCTCTAAAGAGTCAAACGAAAAAACCAAGGTGGTGGACCTTGTTGTTACCATTGGGAGGAAATTGCCTAGAACACTATCGTAGTGGGAGAGGGACGGTGTACACACACTCTCTTATTAACACCACTTAAGGCTTCATAACTTTAGATAAAGGGTACATTTTTGGTATACGAAATTGATAGAATTAGAATTAAATATATAATTGAATTGGATAGAATTGAATTTTTCAATTTCAATTTATTTTTTGCACTATTAATTCTAAATCCATATATTTTGTGCTACCAAACAGGAGAAATGGAATTGCAGTCTTTAATTTCAATTTTATGACTTGGATTCTGTGTACCAAGTAGAGCCAAAGTTAGAAGGTAAAAATAGGTAAGTACTAATTACTAAGTACTCCCCCCGTTCTAAAATGATCTTTCCAGCCACTATTCATATAATCAAACTTTACTCACTTTCTTTACTTATTTTCGTTAGTTATTTGATAAAATAATATAGTCATGTCACCTCTTGTTTTGTAAAACTTTTGATGTAATTTTAAAATATATAATTTTATTTTATAATTTTTACACCCAAATAAATTGAATTGAAAATAATTTCGGTTTACAATCATAAACCGAATTGGAAAGATCATTTTGGGACGGGAAGAATAGTAGAGAAGAGACTCTACCTCTTTGGTAGCCATTGGTGTGAATATACAAAACCCAGTCAATGTGAAGTTTTGGACTTTGGGGATACCCTTAGTGGATTTAAATGCATACAATGGGCGTAGTGCCACCAATAAATTGTTTATTTAATGATATAATATTAAAATGTTTTTTTAGTAATTAAAAAAAGTTTCACAAGAAATAAAAAGTACTAAAACTGCAATTGTTCAAATCACTTATTAAAATACGATAGTAACTAAAAAAAGGTATGATGTCCTCACGTAAATTTTATTTCTTTTGTCATTTTATATTCCGTATTATCTCTATAAAAAATTATACTCCCTCCGTCCCGCTTTGTTTGTCCACTTTTGACTTTTGGAACTGTTCATCTAAACACTTTGACTCATCAAATTCTCTCAATGTGTAAGCCTAAATATAGTCATGCATGATCTTGTTTGATTTGTCTTAACGTATAGATTATTAATATATAATTTCTATAATTTTTTAATATACAAATTACAAGATAAAATGGATTAAAGAAGTGTATTGGAGGGTGTGCAAAAATGAAAGTGGACAAATATAGTGGGACGGAGGAAGTACTATTTTGCCCATATTTGTCAAAAAGATGTCCCAAACTTCCAATCACTTTTTTTAAAATTATCACTGCCGGTATTACATCTTCTCGAGGAATAGTTTTCCACACCCGTGGCTGAAAAGAAGAGGCTTTCCCCAAGGTATGAGCTGCCTTCTTTTCCAATCTATGAACGAAATGAACTACTCCCTCCGTCCTATAATGATCTTCTCAGAGCAATATTCCAACTTCACTGGAATTTATATTTATTTGTGTTTTTTCATGGCCTATATGATAAAATAAAATATTCTTGTCACCACTTGTTTTGTTGAACTTTTGGTGTAGTTTTTAAATATGTATGTTTTATTTTTTATTTCTATACCAATATTTAAATAAAATAGATTGAAAAAACTTGGGATTTTTCTTCGTTTTGCGAACCGAGAAGATCATTATAGGACGGAGGGAGTACTACCTAATCAAAAAGANATATTCCAACTTCACTGGAATTTATATTTATTTGTGTTTTTTCATGGCCTATATGATAAAATAAAATATTCTTGTCACCACTTGTTTTGTTGAACTTTTGGTGTAGTTTTTAAATATGTATGTTTTATTTTTTATTTCTATACCAATATTTAAATAAAATAGATTGAAAAAACTTGGGATTTTTCTTCGTTTTGCGAACCGAGAAGATCATTATAGGACGGAGGGAGTACTACCTAATCAAAAAGAGAAATAAAAAACAACAATCATCAATAATAGAGCACAAATAAGACGAGCAAGAAAAATCTTTGCCCGCACACAAAGCACGGACAACCGCTTGGTAATCTGAGATCAACTCCATGTTACTCTATTATTCCACGTTACACCATGTTCACAAATAATATTATTTGTGTCTCGAAGATAAATATTTTATGTGAAGTCCAAATTAAAGATAAAGTCTAACGCTCTATGTATATCTAACTAGTTTCACTTTTTTTATTCAAATTGGATAAATTTTAATGATCAATTATTCTCAATTTATATTATATATTGATGCCATAAAATCCAAATTTAAAAGTTTTAAATAAGATAAACCTAATAAATTATGTTTATATATATTACAAATTTTAAAAGTTTTGAATAAGATAAATCAAATATACGTTATAATTTTTATTTAATTAAAATCAAAATTTATTCCATTTGATTTGAAAAAAATTAAATTAGACCAATACATAAGGAGAGAAGCATTAGACAAGTAGACAACACTCAGTTTTTACATGAACTTTTCCTCATCTAATGTCCAGTTTGTCGCAGCCTTTTTGAAAATTAAATAGGAATATCCTCTAGAAGTCTAGAATAAATTTATTTATATCTTAAAATACTTTCCAAAGGTTTAAACTTTCTATACACATTTTGATAATTTATATTGACACAAAATATCAATATAAAATTTTATGATCGTAAGACTATAACATCCGACTGGATATGACTCATATGAATCAAAAATGAATTTGTTTACTTTAATTTTCACATTTTCTATTAAAAAAAAGGAGATAAATCCTATGCTAAGGTTCTCATGATCCTATCGGTCTAGATAAAAATATTACTTGTTAGAATTTTTTATGTATTTTTAAATGATTTAATTTATTTTTTTCTACTAAATTTAAACTACACTAATTTTAATATTAAGAAAATTTTGCCATTATTCTAAGAGTAACGTCCATTCTATAATGGAAGTATAGAGGTCCCCAAGCTTTTGTCTAGACTCTAGATCACCTATTTTGGGAGGGGACTATTTTGACATTAATGTGAAAAGAATATTTTTCTTTGATTTTTTCATTATCTTTTTTAACATTTAAAATGCCACAAATACACTTATTTACTTTATTTATTATACCTCACTTCTTTTATTTCATACATTACATTCATTTTCATTAAATGTATTTTGCTAAATTTTCATCTTTTTTAACTCTCTTTAAAAACTACAAAAAGTCAAAACAAGAAAATCTTAGAGAAACGGATGAAATATATTGTAAGAATTGCATTTCAAAATAAATTTATAAATATTAAATTTATGTCATAATTAATTCTTTTTTTTACTTGTGAGCAAAATTTTAAACCACAAAATTCAAATGAAAAAATGGGAATGTGGGAAGTAGTCCCGGAAAGCTATAAAACCCACCTGCTTCGGTACTCTGTTTCCAGCGCGCATTTAGAAAGAACCTTCCCTCCAAAAATGATGGCAGTCCCTTCCGATTCCTTCCGACGCCTCTTTCCGGCGGCGCTCCTCCTCCTAGCTTTCTCCGGAAACGCCCTCTCCGCCCGACAGTGTGCCGACTGCGGCTCAACTCAGGTCCCGTACCCGCTCAGCACCGCCCCTGACTGCGGCGACCCACGCTACAAGATCCGCTGCAATAGCAGCGGCAGCCTGTTCTTTGACACCCTCAACAACACCTACGCCATCTCCTACATCGACCCGGAGTCTCAGCGGCTCACGATCGAGCCGGCACCGTTCTTACCACACACCTGCGTCACAGAGGACATCTCCACCGGCGGAATCCTCCTCAATTCGTCCCTTCCGTTCAATATCACCGGCAGCAACACGATTCTGTACCTCAATTGTACGGATGCGCTGTTTAATTCCCCGCTTAATTGCTCCTCTGATAGCGCCTGCCACGCCTACATCAACGGCAGCCTCAATGCCGGGAATCCCGCCGGCGCGTGCTCCAAAGAGCCGGTCTGCTGCAGCTTTAAAGCTGGCGGGTCGACCACGGCGCACAGGCTCCGTGTCAGGACGTCGGGTTGCCGGGCGTACAGGGCATTCGTGAACTTGAACGAGTCTTTGCCGGTGGGCCAGTGGCCCACGCCTGCGTTGGAATTGGAGTGGGCGTCCCCGGCGGCGGAGCCTCCGAACGACGGCTAGACCGGACGGGAATTCTTGTTTCTTTTGGACTAAGGGGTGTCACTGTTTCGGCCTTTCTTAATATTTCGGTTCTACGGAGTATTATTCACTAGTCACTACTCTTGTTCTCTTCTTCCTTCTTTCTTGTTTGTCATAGAGTGATACTTTAAGTGTTTAATTAAGACTATGTTTGGATTAAGGAATTTAGAAATAAAAGAAATGAAAATATTTTTCTTTCATTTTCTTCATTAAAATGAGAGGAATTTGATTTTTTTTCCATATATTATATTTTGTTTTCTCATTTTCTTTTTCTTCCATTTTCTGTTTCGTTTCTTTTTTAACCAAACAAGAAAACTGTTATCCACTTTATTTTCATTTTTTTCCCTTTCAAATTCCTTGAACCAAACATAGTACGGCTAGATTCAGTGGCTACTGCATTCTAGTGGCTGCGAAAGCCACTACCCTCCTACGGTGTTCCGTTCATAAAATTGATGGTTCTTACCCCGATAAACCCCTCCCCTCATCCCGACCCCAACTCATCAGCCATCTCCCCACCTACGTCAATTGCACCTCATAAGTAGATTGACTTCAAAGTCTAAACTTTTGACTTCAAAATCAACTAAATTTGCGGGATACAAATACGTTCAACTTTTGGGCTAGGGTCACTACTCAATTCCACACCATTATGAATGTGAGCCTCACCGCAACGTCGACACAATCTTCTCATAATACTTGAGTGAAAAAAGTCAACAAAATGATCGCCAACTTCAACACCATTTTGAGGGTGTCTGGTGTTGTTTATGTTGTGTTTGAAAACAATTTTTAAACTTATCTTGTTAAAGTGCAATTAAATGTACTTGGCAATATGATGTTGTTTATAAATTAGGGGTTTTGCAAGTCATCTCTAGAAGTGATTTGCGGCAAAGTTAAGATAAAGAGGGTGTTTGGCACTGTGTTATTTTTTAGAATTTTGTGTCTGTTTTTAATGGTAATCATTTTATTCTGTTTGGCATACCAACTTCTGCTTTTCTTCACCATCATTTTGTACATTAAACATTTCGGAGAAGCAGATATATGGTTCTTCAGCTTTCAGATTTTGTAAAAATCACTTTATCGATAAGTTAATTACTTCCAAGCACGCTCAAAGTAGGCTCTAAAGAGTTAAATAACTTAATTTGATCAGTTAAGATTGAAAATGAGTATCCTCTAGAAGTTTATAGAATAAATCTATTTATACTCTAAATGTATCCTAAATATTTACATATACTCCGTACATTGTAATAGTTTAGATTAATACAAAATTTTAGTACAAAATTTTGTGATCACACTGACGTGTTGTCATTGTAAATTAAAATATACTCCCTCCGTCGCCATGTATTTGTCCACATTTGACTTTTGGAACTGTTCATTTAAACACTTTGACTCATCAAATTCTCTCAATGTGTAAGTCTAAATATAGTCATGTGTGATCTTGTTTGATTTGTCTTAACATATAGATTATTAATATATAATTTTTATAATTTTTTAATATACAAATTACAAGATAAAATTGATTAAAGAAGCGCATTGGATGGTGTGTAAAAATAAAAGTGGACAAATATAGGGAGACGGAGAGAGTATTATGTGCAATTTTTTGAAGTACATTTTGAGTCAAAAACATTGTTGAAGTCTATAACATACGACCAGATATGAGTCAAAAACAATTTGTTTACTTTAATTTTCACATTTTCTTCTTTTTTTAAAGAGATGAATCCTATGCTAAAGACTAAAGTTCTCACGATACTATCGATCTAGATAATATCCTTTTCGTCTCAAATTAAATTACATGTTTATTATTCACAGTGTCAAACTTTATTCGATTTCTTTCTTTATTTTGTTAGTTATATAAAATGATTTAAAAATATTTTCAGTCAAATATCGTAATATGAAACAATCGATATAAATTGAGACAGAGAAAATATACTTGATACAAATTTTGATATATTTTTTAAATAATTTGATTTATATTTTTTTATAACAATTTTAAATTAAAATAACTTTCAAATAATAAACGTTTGCACCCTATTCTAAGAATAACATCCACTCTAGAGTCTAGAATGGGAGTATATAGAGGCCCCCTACCATTTGGCTGGATCACCTATTTTAGGGGGACTATTTTGATATTAGAACATCTCCAATCCATAGTATATATGGTTAAATTTACACTATATGCAATATACTATTCATTTTTTAATACTCCAATGGATAGTGTAAATCAAATGTTAAAAAACACTATAGTGGAAAAAGCAATTCCCAACTTGTATATATACAAGATGGTGCAAACCAAATGCTAAAACAAATATTTCAATATTTAGTTTTAAATAATAATAAAAATATTAATAATAGATTGGTTAGATTATGCACATCATAAATGTGATTTTAATTAAACCAAAAATTAAATATATTTATTATAAATAAATAAATTAAAATAACAAAATATTATAAAAATATATTATATAGAAGATATGGTTGGAGTGAGTATGAAAAATTGAATGTGTAAAACACTTTTGATAGTGTAAAATAAATTTTATAGTGTAAAATAAATTTTACACTATCACTTTTTCCACTATGGGTTGGAGATGCTCTTAACGTGAAAAGAATACGGAGTATTTCCCGTTAAGATATACGGAGTACTCTAGCTGTCTTGTATACTACCTCCGTCCCATAGTATTTGTCCACTTTCATTTTTACACATCATCCAATACACTTCTTTAATCCATTTTATCTTGTAATTTGTATATTAAAAAATTATAAAAATTATATATTAATAATCTATATGTTAAGACAAATCAAACAAGATTACACATGACTATATTTAGCCTTACACATTGAGAGAATTTGATGAGTCAAAGTACTTAGATGAACAGTTCCAAAAGTCAAAACTGGACGAATACTCTGGGACGGAGGAAGTATTTTTTTTCTATTTAATTTTTCCTATTTTCAAATTAATATTTCAACTTAGATATAAATGTAAAATATACAAATATGGTATTTTAAAATTATTATTCAAAACTATCAATTATTATCAAATTTAAATGACAGTTTTAAAAAATAATTGAGAATAAAAATTAAATGTGAAAACAGCGAATGAGGGAAGTACTCCTCCAACCTTTAAAACCCACTTCTATACTCTGTTTCCCAGTCAATTAAGAAATAACCCTCCCTCCAAAAATGGCAAGTCCCCTCCGGTTTCCTCCCACCCCTCTTTCCGGCGTTTCTCCTCCTAGCTTTCTCCGGAAACCACCTCTCCGCCACGGCAGTGTGGCGGCTCATCTCCGGTCCGTTACCCGCTCTGCACCGCCCGCGGTGACCCACTCGACAAGATCCGCTACAACAGCACCACCGGCGGCCTGTTCTTTGACGCCATCAACAACACCTACGTCATCTCCTCCATCGACCCGGAATCTCGGCGGCTCATGATCGAGCCCGCACCGTTCTTACGGAACACCTGCGTCACAGGGGACATCTCCCCCGGCGAAATCCTCTTCAATTCCTCCCTCCCGTTCAATATCACCGGCAGCAACACAATTCTCTATCTCAATTGTACAATTGAGGAAAAGAATTGTATGTTTTATTTTTTTATTTTTAAATATGTATGTTTTATTTTTTTATTTTTATACCAATATTTAAATAAAATAGATAGAAAAAACTTGGGATTTTTCTTCGTTTTGCGCAACGGGAAGAAAGATATAGGACGGAGGGAGTAATTTGTTTTAGGTGTCGGATTTTGGACTTTCACGCTTGGCTCTTACAGACACAGAGCCACATATCCACTTGGCTGTTTTCGTGCAACGTTTGGTGGGGGAGGAGAAGATAATGGATGTCGTGGATCCGGGGTTGAAGGAAGGGGCGATCAATTTGGAGTTGGAGACGATGAAGGCGCTCGGGTTTCTGGCTATGGGGTGTTTGGAGGAGAGGAGGCAAAACCGGTCTTCCATGAAAGAAGTTGTTGAAGAGATTGAGTATTTAATCAGTGTGGCTACTGCTAGTAATGATGAGGATGAGAAATAGTGAGTTGCGTTTATGGAGCTTTAGTGGTTTATAATGGGGAAAACGATTAAAACAGGAGTAAAACATTGAAAATATACTAAAAGTATAGCAATGTGCACATGTATAGTGTCACATTATATTCACATTGCTACATTGCGAAGTCCTATTTCGTGAATAAAAACATTGAACTTCTATTTTGGTATTTTTTTTGCTATACGTTAGTTCTATTTATAATGTATTCAATTTTTATGTGTATTAAAACAAGGAAGGTATTGTTGTGTATGTATGGGTCACATTTACAACTCATGAGAAGGTCTTTTGGTTTGTGCTAAGTGAAAATGGGCCTATTTGGGGGGGCATGATTTAAATTGTACTCATTATCTAGAGTTTCTTCTTTCACCTTATTATTTTTTATTTGATTAGACTAGAAATAATTTTTAATATAATTACATTTAAATTTCATAAAATCATAACTTAATCGAAGCAGATTAGAAATAATCACGTAAGTTGAAAAGAACAAGTCTTAGTCAATGGTGTTTCAAAGTTTAAGGGAAGCTTCAAGATATATTATATACCCCCAACACATCCCTTCATGTGCAAGGGAAGTGAGTATACAACAAAAGACAACAAAATATTTTTAAGTCTCCAAAAATATTCTTATAATTAAATGATTTCCAAAAACATTAAGTTATTAACTTTTAAATCACGAAAGTTAAAGATTAAAGTAATATTATATCATACCGGTATTTAATTTTAATAGATATTACTAGTATTAAACATTGTGCAACAACTCATTACTTTTCCATAAAAGCGGTATAATACCGGCAATCACATTGTCCAAATATCAAGGCGGGTTATTTGTTTCAATACATTAAAAAAAAATATATGAACAAACATTATATTGTAAAAAATAATACTACTAAAAATATGTGTTTTTTATGCTTATGAAGATAAAAAAAGAATATTATGCTGTAAAAAATAAAAAAAACTTATTCTTTTTTTAAAAAAAATCTACTTAAATGTTTTCCTATATTTTTATGGATCAAAAATAGGAGGAGAAGGTTCTAGTTCAAAGCAGAGGGGCCGGCCCAATTGTAGCGGACCAGGCGAATATCTATGGAGTTGCGGGTACCAGATAACTTCTTCATACCCTTTTATAACCGCTCCGGCTCGGTTAAACCCTACTCACCAAACCCTTCCCCTGTCTTCTCTGCTCTCATCTCAGAACCCTAAACAGAAATGGCGATCTGCAATATCATCAGAAGAGCAGCCGGTCATGCCGCCGGAGCTGCTCGATCCATAGCGAGAGCTCAAAGGTATCACCACCGCCAGTACTCCTCCATGTTCTCCGCCGCCGCGGTCGCCGCCAACCGTGGTGGTGTCTCTGGAAGTTTCGTCCGGAGAGCCGTTCCCTCCGCGTTTCACCACTACTCCACGAAGTCCGACGAGGCTCTGCTCAAAGTGATTGAATCGGAGATCAATGCTCACATTGAATCTGAAGGCACTAACGAGGTTTATCATTCCCCACTTTTCCTCTCCAGTTTCGCTATAATTTTCGCTATTTTAGTTTCTCTGGATAATCAATTCTTATATACATGTTCTAGCTGTATTTCTATTAATTCCTTAACTTTTTGGGTGCATATATATTTATTTGTATTAGCTTTGGAGTAGTTGTTTGATATCCTGCTTGCCTACTCACTTTTTTTTTGTGTGTATTTTGTTGACATTTGTATTTTGTTGATTTCCTGAAATTACTGGTTATTTTGCAAGATGATTTGAATTATGATATGCAGATCTGGGCATTGATAGCTTCCTTTAAGATGTAGTTTGATGTATAATCATTTGCTTTTAGTTTCCAATGTGGAGCTTTGTGTCCGATTTTTGTTCGTAATCCTACAGGCTGAGGATGTTCCCGCCGGGTTTCCCTTCAAAATTGAAGATAATCCAGGATACCAGACGGTAACTCTGAGAAGAGAGTATCAAGATGAAGACATCACTGTTGAAGTCCACATGCCTGACCTAGTTTCCGGTGATGAAGGAAATGACCGAATGAGATACAATGACGATGATGATGAGCAGGACAATAACTCTCAAATTCCTCTTGTTGTTTGTGTTTCCAAAAAGAATGGTCCTGCTTTGGAGTTTGGCTGCACTGCTTTGCCCGATGAGATTTCCATTGACAGCCTCTCTCTTAGAGATCCTAAGAGCGATGAGGATAAAATTGCATACGAAGGGCCTGATTTTTCGTGAGTTCTAACCTCTTCTTGGTCTCATAATCTAACATCCATTGCTTTTCACCACTTCATCCATTACATTCTAAAAGTGTTCATAATTCTTGCTTTTCCCAACAAACCCATAGAGATAGATAAAAGATGTTTGTTACGTCTCTAGTTTGACCATGTAAAGAACATCAATTCCTCATTTTCCACCTTTATCCTTCGAACCCATGAAATTTCCCAGTAACGAATGGAGACTCTGTTTATTATGTGTATGTGGCAGAGATTTGGATGAGAATCTGCAGAAGGCATTTCACAAGTACCTGGAGATCAGAGGGATAAAGCCCAGCACAACCAACTTCTTGCACGAGTACATGATTGACAAGGACGGGAGAGAGTACTTGATGTGGCTCCAGAACATCAAGAAGTTCATCGAGGCTTGAAGAACTCTTTTGGCTCATAAGAACTTCATCTTCTAGAAGTTACATGGGGATGTGATTGCTTACTTCTTTGGAAACTTCCCAGTGATGGATGTAGTTTTTATTTTTTTCCATGAGATCAAAGACTGCACGCTTTTCCATTGTCATGCGTTGGGAACTATTTTTGTGGTGCTTTAGAATGCATATTGTTTAATATTCTCTCAGTCCACAGATGAAGTTCCCATTGTGCGTTATTGGATTTATTTTTAAATTATTTTGTATGAAAAATAGTATGAAATAAAAAAAACATATTTAAAAATAACATGAAAAAATCTATAAAACTATATATGAAATAATTAAAAATAGATGTGATATAATTATAATATTTTATCAAATGAAAATATGTTAATAAAGTGAATAAATGTAAAACTTGTGAATAGTGAACAAGAATTCTATTGTTGGATGGAGTATTATGATTGGGTATTTTATACTACCTTCAACTTGGATATAGTATATCATCTTTTATTTTGATATACTACTTTCATCTTGGATTATTTGTTTAACTTTGATTTTTTAGTTAATTATTTTTTATTTTTGACTTATGATTAGAAAAATATTGTAATTGATAAAATAATATTCTGAAAATATTATATATAATAAATTTTATAAAATTGTTTTTTTGTCAATATTTCATATAGTGTTATTTAATTTGAGATCAAAGTTTACTAATTTTGACTAATCTTCCAAAAAATAGATTGAAAATAACTTCAGTGAAATCTTGTAAACGACAAGACGTTAGTAATAATATTCATTTCAGTAGATGACTAGATACTTTTATTTGACTTATAAAAAGATTTACTACGCACTTTAAATGAATCAAAGAATTTGTTAACAATCTAATACTCCTATTTCATTATTTACATGTCATGTTGAAATGACACAATTTATAAAACGTAGGATGGTTGATATTGTTCTTAAAAAATACAAGACGGTATGAAAAAGTAAAAATAGATATTCCATGTCAAATGATTAGATTGTTTTGTGGAAATTTTTTAACAGACACTAAAAAGATGGTTTTTTTTCATTTGCGAGAAAGAAATATGAACAGTTTTCCTCCAGTACCAGTAGTGCTAAAATTACAATTCATAACCTTATTTACTTCAAGTATCAACTAACAAAGTTAACCATTATGCATCATTTTATTATTTATAGTTCCTCCCTTAATGGTTCTTAAGTCAATTCCTTAGAGGCATCAAACTAATCCATTGTCATAATATAATACTGGGTTTTAACATCAAAAGAACCCCACCACCTTGTTCATTATAGTCTTATTACAATGAGTTTAAGATTGCTCCATTTAAAAAAAACGATTATTTTAACCACATATTTTAAAACCATCTCAGAATAGCTTTTCAACTTTTGCTTGTTGTCTCTGAAAAGTCAAAATCATACCGTCGCAAACATTCCAAAACGATTCTATTAAGAACAAAAATTAAAAATAATTCTTAAACACACTCACAAACACATTCTACATATGTGCACATAATATCTACGAACGAATAGTTGAAAGGACCAAATGACTTGATAAAAAGAGTAGCCACTCCAGATTTATTGCCAAAGATAAGACTGGTTTATAGAAATTAAAGATGTGCCATATTATTCTGTATGTATACACTCTGATTTATTGATGATGAAACTTTAAATTACACTCTGCAGAGCCTAATCAAATAAAAAAGACAGTAGATTACAATGCACAGAAAGTGGCTTCTCCATGGATGAACCTCTGGGAAAAAGCATCTCTTCATTAAAAAGAAGAAGAAGAAGAAGAAAGAAGAAATCCAAACTCTCTCTCCACTTGGTTTGGCAAATCTGAAACTCAGCTCAGCAGTTCCCTGTGGGTGTAAACAACTTCTTTATCGCCATTCACCACGTGCCCGCTTCCCCTTGCAATCCTGCCCCAAATATACACACAAAACATTCCAAATGTTTGGATAAATCGTCTCGAAAAAAACGTTTTTTTGCAACCCAACTTGTACTCTACTCTACACACAGACAATGTTTCTTGATTTCCCAGACAAGTGTCTAAGTACAAAAATCATTGTGTATGTGGTGATGTGGAGAGTATAATAGATGGTGACTAAGTAAAATTTAGATACACAATGAAAAATAACACTTTTTGTCCCGAAATTGAGTGCTCAATTTAATTTATGTGGCCAAAATTGTATGAGATCTGATTGTGGTTTGCATTAAAAATAGTGTTAAGAGTGTAATTGGAGTCTAACCAAATACAACCAACTTTATTTTTTGGAGAGGAAGAAATCACTCTCTGAAGTTTGTTATCCACTTTCTATAAAAAATTCATTTGTACGAAATGAGATTAAAATGTCAAATAAGTCCTTTAAATGAGTTTGTCGACCATTCATGCCAACACTGTCGTTTTACTTTAACTTAAGGACTTTTTTAGCAATTCATCATAATTATCTTATTGAGCATGGAAAGTGGACAATTAGGACAACTTAATCTGGACGGGGTGAGTATATAAAAGAGTACCATCGTGT